CTGTCCACTAGTATCACCACTGAATTCGGGGATCAGTTTTTATATCGAATGGTCTTTCCGCCATCTGCGAGAGACAAAGTAAATGCTGAAATAGCTTGAAGTGTAAGCATTCTCAAAGCAAATTTGTGGCTTTCACAACACAAAGAAAGAAAATCACTTTGTAACGTCAGGAAAATAACTCACGAATGCCGTAGCCAAAACTGCCCGAATTTTCCTTCCCGAGTCGACAACACCAACTGCTTTTATCGGCAGAACCTATTTTTTTCCATTCGTTGACAGCCGGGATAGGATGCTCCATAATTTGCATATTAATATACTCTTATAGCGACTCCTGTGACGGACTTGTTTCTTTTTTCGTCACAGAATACACGCGACGCACTGTCGCTTGGGTTGATGAGGTAAGTCGCTATAAGAGTTTTGCTGACTACTTTTTGGCAATCCCTTCCCGGCAAATCGCACACAAAACACAAACTTTTTTCCAGGGTACTTGATTATCTCGTTCACTACAAAATTGCTGATGTTAACTACTTAAAAAAAATTGTAGATTCTTTGATCCCCAAAATAAAGTTTTCAAATTTTGAGTGAATGTTAGAACTGCTCAAATACATGAATACATATTTAGTTTTGTATGTATATAAATAGTAAATAATAATTTCAGGTGAGACCAATTTTAGCTACCCATAACATTTTAACAATATATAAAACAACAAGAAAAAGTCAGATTGAAAAGATAGCACTTAGCAAAAATCCAGTTAAAAAGAATCATGATTAATGAATGAGTTGCTAATGGTGAAAATATGCATAGGCTAATTAACTCATATAAGCTGTACATGGATGAAGTTAAAAAAAGAATATGGAAGCAATCTATAACCCTGATTACTTAGTGTAATATTGTGGCTGTCAGCTAGCTCACTCATTGGTTGTTTCTTTGAGCTAGGAACTTATAGAAGGAAGAACTCATACAGAAAAATATATTTTCTTATTTGATAAATTGAGTCGGAGAAAATTTCTACTAGGTTTTAGGAGAAAAGAATATTTATTTAACAAAGTAAATTTTATAAAGTAATAAACCAAAACTGGAGCTTTCTTAAAACTGATTGCCAATTAAAAAATATTGTAAATTAAAATTTCCCAAGTATGTATCTACCATGATCCTGCATAACAGTCTGATACAACTCTTCATTCATTTAAACAATGTATGTTGTTTTTAACTTTACACTCATTAGAAACATGTCTTTGCTAACAACATAAAAACAGAAAGCCAAGCTCTTAAATCTTGAAAATTGTATTAAATATTTTTCTTTAAACTCAGAAAATTACATAAATTCTTTAATTTTATTTTTTTAAATGACTATTTAAGGACATGCTTTCACTACAACACCTATTGTTGATTTTCAACAGTAAATAATGGAGCTAAAGCTATGAAGAATTGATGGTTGGAAAAATTTCTAAATGTAAGAGTAAATGGAAAGAAACAAACTTAATAGGTTCTAGTGGCCTGCCTTCTATGATATAAAATTGATCTTATTTTGAATCATGTAAGAAGGGTGTTGTTTTGTTACAGGATGTGTTCAAATTTCAAAAAGGTCAAAAGTTGAAAAGGTAGAGATTTAAGGTATCCTATCTTCTTTTGTTTCTTCAGATAGTGATCAGAATCAAGATGAATCTCTCAAGGAATTTATTGGTTCTTTGAATGAATATAAGGGACGATGACATGTCTGGTGTAATGATCTCACAGCAGAAATGGCATACCTGCTATTGTTAAATAATATTTTAGCAAACTATTATTTTGAGGGGGAAGTTTATCCCTGGTCTAACTTCCTCAAGTTGACCTTAGGAATCAGATACAAGAGAAAAGAAAGAAGTCGATTTTGATAGATTCACAAATACACACTGGTGTGACAATGTCAATTTTGATGAAACATTTTAGTGAAAGGCTGATTTTTGTTATGTTTTGTATTTTTACCATGTGCAAAAATCTATTGTTGAATTTGATTGGCACACTTTAATGTTGTATGTCTGGCAGTCTGTTTTTTCAAATTTTGTTGTGAAAAAATCCAGCCGTGAAAATTTTGCTTTTAATTTTCTGGAGGAGGAAATTTGACCAGTACATAAATTTTCCTGATGTTGACCTTTGAGGAAGTTCAATGATGTGCCACATGGAGACTTGAATTCGTGTACGTGAACACAATGAAAAATTGTTTTGAAAAGCAAAAACTGATGGAATTTTGTGATGGGGTATTCCCACTGTAATTTCTGTATATTGTTAATGAGTTGAAAATTTTTGTGACTATGGTTTTACATGCATTCAAATGTTTTAAGTTTAGAATTATTTTGTTAATTGTAATTAACTGACAAATGATTTTTTTTTTTTTCATTTTTGTAACAGTGTGTGGAATTCTTTTTTTTTTTTATTATTTAAGAGCTGTGTGTGTGTACTTTTGCCTTCATTGGTTGAAGCATTACGTTGTTAGTTGGTGAATTTTGGGAGTCAATTTTTGTGGAAAAATTAAGTTAATTGTTGTAGAGATAAGTAGATTCAGTCTGCATAGTTTTGGGTTTATGAATGTGTTTGAGTGCATCCTTGGCACAGGGAGGATTGTCACACTTGGTTATGTAGATAGAAACTCCACAATGTTGGGCAGAGTGGGAGCTGTATGCTATGAAGTATTCAGTATCAAATGAATACATCCCTAAAATACCTCTGGGGTCAATGAAGGGCTTTGATAACCAAAAAGGAATTGGTTCAGAGGCTTGAGGGATTCCAGGTCATGGTAGATGACTAAGGAAAGAAAGCCCTTGTAACCACGGTAGAGCTATTAGTTAGGAGGTGCTGAGTGGGTGTGGTTGTTTGCCACGTGGGGGGGGGCAGCCAGGGGCAGTAGGATTTGAGATGGTGAGAGTTGAGTTTTGACACACAGAGGCAGATGGTTATTAATAGTAATTATAGAAAATTAATGGTGGTACATATGTGAAGATTTGTTCAAGTAAATCTGGTAATAAGCAATTAGCAAAGTAATTAATTGGTTGTGGTTGAATAAATAGGGTGATAATGAACCATGTGTGCTGTGTCACTGTGAGTAGGAAAGAAATGTGGATCATGGTATATTTAAAGTGTAAAATTTAGGTGGCAAGGATGTGACTCAGTTATGGAATTGGTTGATGCTGTTGCATGAGGCATTTGGGCATGTATTGTGTGATTTTGGGACCAGAACGTTTTTTTTTTTCTGTGAATTGTATGTACATTGCATGTAGTCTAATGTGAAGAGGCAAGAAATTTTGTTCTCCCCAGGAAAATTGGATTGCAGAGGTGATACCTGCTGACCTGGGTTGAGGTATCATTGGAGAGGTCAAAAAGTTCATTGTTGGAGTGATTTGTATCCACTCTGTTGTCTGAGGCATTGACCTTTGGTCATGGAAGATAGTGACCAAGAATGGACAAAGGATTGTCTGGTATTCTTTCTTTTTTTTTTTTTTTGTTTAAAAAAGAAAAAAGTTTGTGAAGTGTGAAAAAACTGGTCAGAATTTTGTTGTATATGTTCATTCTTTAGGTATGCGTAGTTGGGATAAGAATAATCTTGAACAGGAAAAAAAAAATCAACATCCTCTATCAAGTTTTCCAAGAAGTAGGACTAAATATATTAACCTTTCCAAACAGAAACTATGATCTGGAATTGGAAAGAAAGCAGTGATGACATATACTGTAAATCCATGATAAAAATTCAAGATACAGAATAAATAAATACTAAACACCTAAAATACCTAGGTGTAGGGATCAATTATAACAATGAATGGTGCCCAACTTGTTCAGAAATATCTAAAACTGTCTACAACTGATTTCTCATATCAATGATTAAAAATGGTTTCTTGTAGGTCTGTATGAACTGGTACTATGGATTCACAAAAAACTTTACTAAATAGCAAAAACATCACTCGAAAACTTTCAACAGCAGCAATAATTAAAATGGATAGCCCAAGTAATTTGAAGAGAAAATAACGAAATAATCAATATATTCACATTCCACACTACTTCAAACAAACGCTTAAGAAAGAAGCCCCCATCATGACTGGAAAAAATGATAACAGCTACTGAACTTAAAAATCCTATTTCCCTGAAAAATTGTTTTAATAAAAAGATTTTATAAATTAAAAAGCGAGAAAGAAAAAAAAAAGAACATAGCACTGGCTGTTCAGTCAATGTATGTTGAAAGTTTCCATATAGGGAAATGGCCAATATTACCATTTATGTGAATTGATGACTTGCTGCTAAAACCAAATATATGCACAGAGGTCAAGTAGGGATTATTTTCATTGAATAATTGTTTTTTTTTTAATTTTCCATTCATTTTGTTCCAATAAAATTGGAAATTTCATATTGAACAATCTGACATTTTGATTTGTATAAAAAAATGTTAAAAATGCTTTAATTAGCAAAAATTAACTAACAAAAGAATCCTCAAAATGTATTTTAACATAAACATAATAAATTAAACAAAAATTTTAGTTTACAATCTATTCAATTAATTTAATTCAGTAACATTATTTTAACTTCAAAAATTAGGTTTACTGAGATAATTTTGAAGTGAAACAATAAATGGAAAACCTATTAAGAAATTGTCTTAAGTTCATGAAGACATGATCTTACCAAGGAAAAATGCATAAGACTTATTTTCTAAATATATTTACTTCATATTCTTATAAAAAGAAAAATGAAAATCCAGATTTTAAAAAAAAATCTATTACATTTAAAACATCTTTCATTTTCTTAGGTAAGTATTTACTTGACATTTTATGTTTTGGTTTAGGTATTTAAAATGAGAATTAGTAATGCAAGAAATTATCACTTAACTCATGCTGCTACATGTAAATTAATTTGTATCACAAGAGGAAACAAATAAAAGGCTACCTTTTCTGAATTTCTCATACAGTAAAATTATCCTGAACTGTATGCAAATAAATAATGTAAATGAGTCTAACATTGGTAGACATGTCAAACTAACCTGGTGATGTTTTCTTCAAATGCTGATATGTACTGTGGGTTACAATAGGTAATGGCCAGTGGAATTGATGGTGAACCTCTCTTACAGCCATCACAAAATCTTCAACCTTAGCAGCTCGTAACCTGTAATAAAAGAGAATATCAACCTTAAATACAGCTAAAGATGAAAACAAATAGAGAATTTGTAGATTAGCATTAATCCTTCTAATATTCGTTCTATAGAAGAAAATCAGGATTTTGCAAATAACTGAGCAGAGATGATGTAGAGTTTGTAAAATCCTGGATAAGTCGATATTGAATATGAATTAAAAAGAATATTGGTTAATAAATAAAAATGACTTGCGTGGAATTTTTCAAAGGTTCTTTAAAAGCCAAAGCACAAACTGTATTTCCAATGAATGGAATTTACAAAAACATTCCATTCTTTTTCTAAGAAAAATGAGTATTTGAAGAATGGATTTTATTCTTATTCCCATTTGAACTTTACAAAAAGCAGAGAAAGAATATAGAATGAAGTTCAAAGTTGTCATGTGCATCTCAATCATTCACTATAGGGAATAAAACAAAGTTTTAGATGATTGTTTTAAGATTTTATCACTATTCAGTGTATAGAAAATGAGACATCAATAGCAAAAAACTAGAACTTGATACAGACTTCTTGGATCTCATTCTAGATTAAAATACAGGATGGATATGATAAATGTTTGATCTGCATATTTGGAGACTGGGTTGTATTAAACCAGATTTTCTGAACATAGAAACATCATTTTTATAATATCGTGACAATGTTTTGGGGATGTCTAAATTGTGTAGAAAGTGCAAGTAACTGCATATTTTATTTCTAACTTCTGAACAAAATTGATGATAATTTCTATTTTGATATGTGATGTGCACATGTTTATGATACAAGTTTATAAATAATTTCAAAGTATCTTGTATCAATTGAAGAAAGATGCAATTCAATTTTGATTCATTGGCATTTTCAATATAGCCAGTATACAAATATGCAAATGTATAAAATATATAGTAGTAACAAGATCAAGGTCTGACTATTTCTTTAAACTTACTGGTTATTAGAAATAAAGCTTTATAAAATTTTGTGCTGTTTCAAGATGAGAAACCACTGTGGCTATTACAAAAAAAAAAAAAATTCTTTAAATGTTGGAGGTGATACCAACTATGTAAAAATTAACTTGTCTTTAGATAATGAGAAAATCCTTTCTATGTCCACATGCTATTGAATCAAAGTTCATATATAAGATAATATATATTTGTTCTTCACTATTGAGGAACAAATGTATATTTCTTCTCAGTATAAATTTTAGCTCTGTTATTTTACATTGATCACTGTTTTTACCACCTGCGTTCACTATATTATACATATTACATGCACACAAATGCACATGCATGCAAATCAAGCTGTTTGACCTCTAAAACAAATGATTTTTTTGTAAACAAAGAAAAGCAGAAAAAGATGTAGCAGCAATGTTCAGTAATTAATAATTACAACTTTGATATATTTTATACTGAATTAGAAATTGGAAATGCAACCTTGAAATTGTGTATTTGCAGCATTGTCACTGCAGGATTACTATCTTGAATATTCCCACACATACACACAAAATAATCAACAACCAAAAGAGTGAGTGCTAAACATGAGAAACAGCCGATTTGTGGGTTATTTTAATTTTTTTTTAAATTACCTCTATACTTAGGTCTTTTCAACTTAAAGCTACACAAAAATTCCTCTTTATACAAAGAGGCATTGAATAGATATTACTATAGGTTAATAATTACACTCCAGAAGAAAAAAAAGATGTAATTTACATATTATTGTCAACATGGATAAACAATTTTTTTTTTTTTTTTTAACTATCTGCTAGTAGCTCTTGGCAAATACCACATACCTAATCAGCAGTACTATGGAATAATTGATTATAGTGACAGTTGTTAATTTCACATGCACAAATAATATACACAACCATGTGTACGTGTGTGTGTGCATGCACAAATATCTAGGTACAAGTTTCTGGACATATAAAAAGAGACTTATATGAACATCAACACTGACACCAATCTATATTTTTGATTCTGATTGTTCAAGTAATGCTTTAACTGTTACACAAGGCAATAAGAATGAAAGAATTATTGGTTGGGAAAAAGTATTTTTGGTAATTTCATAAGAGTGTCCTCTGTGCCCTGAGTGAAAACATCATCTTACCAACCTCTAGATGCTGAATGTCCAGTCTAGTCTATCAGGATTAAGAAATGATCAACATTATATTTTTCCTCTGTTATTATTTCAAAAGCTGAACTATGCATTGTTAGAAGCTAGTATAGGATAAGAACAGAGAAAAAGGATAAAAGACTCAGTCTTTAATTATAATGTAGGTCAACAACATTCTCAAACAACAACTGAATTCTATTAATTAAAACTATAAATACTTAAAGTATTCACACAAACATCTTAAGGTAGATGTGATTTTATACTAAAGTTAATCCAATACTAAGCCCAAGAAGCATTGAATATATAGGACTACTGAATGAAATGTGATATGAATGGAAGGGGAGATAGTTGAAAGTGAAGATTATGAGGATAATAACAATCTTTGACTTGAAGAGGTTAACATTATTGTATTCAGCAAAGTATCCATGTGACAGTGTGTTTCACAAAATAACAGTTCTTGGGGAAAAGAATGTCCTTCTTAAAATTGGAATACAAAGAAAATGATGGTGATTCAACTCTTGATATAATATATCTGATTATATATATATATATATATATATATATATGTGTGTGTGTGTGTGTGTGTGTGTGTGTGTGCACATTCACAATAGAAATCAGTTTACTATCAATAAAGAAAATAAAAATACTTATTAGTTAATATTTTCCTAAAATTAAAATGTTAAAAATAATCAACATGTGGTCAAGCAGATGGCAAAAAAGTGTACAACAAAATTCTTTACCCTTGACACAAAGTTTTGCAATGATGACAATAATACATATCTGAAACAAAAATAGTTTCTAACAAAATAAAAATATTACAGAATGTGAAATGAAAATTAGAGAATGTTGAATAAAAACTTGTTTGTTATAGATGCTGTAAATGACTGATGTGGTTGTATGTAGAATACATAATATAACAACTAAAATGGGGACATTATTAAGAGTAAAAAGCATGATTGAGAAGGTCATGGCATTTTGTTAATAAAAAAAAATCAATAAAGCTCAGAAAACTGGAAGAATAACTTTGGATAAGAGATAAGTAAAAGTTCATACAAAGAAAGAAATAAGGGAAATAAAATTGATGTTTGGAATAGATTATTATAAATGTGTATACATATACATGAAAGATGGTAAATACATTACAGTACATGTGGACATGCATTCATGTTGATGTATAAATATTAAAGTCTTGCTGTGAGTGCATTCATGTAACAAAGTGTCTTCTAGTGATAGAATAGTAATATTAACATGCAATAGTACAAGAGGGTGCTGAAAATTGTCAGATTGACCAAAGATAAAAACAATCGTTTGGTCATTTGGTTTGATTTTAGCAAGTGGGTTGAGCAAGGAACTTTTAAGTATTCCCTTGTATATATTAATGAACAATAAGACAAAATAATAAGACAGAATTTAGATAGTGAAGTGTGTGTGTGTGTCTGTATGTATATAAATAAAAATTTTGTACAACAGAATTTAAACATGGCTTTGAAAATGACAGATGTTTTCTTTTAAAGGGAGTTTTTTTGTCCAATACCATGAGAAAGATTTGTTGGAATGACAATAATCAAAACAGCAAACCTGAAAAATGTATACACAGGGGGTAATTAAGGAGCCATAGCTAAAATAAATTTATTACTAAAAACAAAAAACAAATCAGTATAAATAAGGTCCTAGTGAGTATAAAACATAAAAATAATTACTTATGACCCACCCATGAGATACAGAATGAAGAAAGGTCTCTCTGTGCTTGTACAAAGTTGGTCGATGAAGCTTGATGTAAACGGCCTCTAAAAACCATAAATGTTTAACTGACTGAGCTTTGTGCAGCACCTGAAATGCACCATCAACATATTTGGAAGCACAAGCCAGGTTATTAATCAAATAAAGCCCAATCGCTGACTCACAAACTGACTGAGACAAGTGATTACTATTACTAGCTCCACCCTATCTTTTATAGGCAGGCACATGTCCAATCTGGGTTTTCAACTGCAAGTTGGTTTGTTCCACATAGTCAGCTTTGCACTGACATTTAAATTGATAAATCACAAAACTACTTTGCAGTTAGGGCAGAAGAAAAGCAAGAAGTCACCATAGTGACCTTATAATGCTTAACCTTACATTCCACTGTAAGTTTAACAACATTCTATGTTGAACCATTATAACTGGAAAAATATTGTAAATGTCTATCAATTCCTCATCTGATTTACAAGGTGAACATATCATCAAAGCACGTTGGACCATGGTAGAAATTAATCTTACAGGACTTTGGGACAAAAGAATTCCAATTGGTGTACAAGCCAGTAAACATGGGCTTACAATATAGGCTGGTAATAAACAACGCCTCCTATCACCCCTGGTTTTCAATAACTGGTCTGATAATACATTTCCAACTGAGCCATGACATTTAAAAAAAAAAAAAAACATTTCTCCTATATCATAGGTACTGACTTTTGGGATTTGTAGCAGGTAAATTTATCATTTGTTCATTATTTTGATCAACTAAAAATAAAAATTTATATAGTTTTTTGTGCAATATTTTTAAAAACAAAATTTATGTAGTATTTAGAGAATACACATGAAAATGTTCAAACAAAAATGCAACAAACTTGTGGTGAAAATAAGCTTATATCAAGACAAACAAAATGATAAAGAAACATATATTCCAATGGCACATGGCTGTTTCTCTGTAGTGGTATAAAACAAGTGGACATTACTACTACTTTTCTGAGAAAGGACAAGTTGACTTTGTGGACAATGACAACATTGAAGATAAGACATCAACTAAGTTGACAATTTGAATAAAACTGTCATAACATCTGTCTTTGATATATTGACAATAATATCTATGTGAATTTTTTTGTTTCT